CAGCAGGAGAATTTCACTAGTCATTTTTGGTTTGAGGTCGGCTGGTCGTGGGAGGCACAGGTCTCGGTTGGCTTTGTTTCACGTTGTGCCTACTTCCCCTCGGCATTGTCCTGCTAGGCTTTCTCCCCAATGCCAACATGCAACCCCCCATTTCCCTTAGGTTGGTGCTCGTCCCCTCATGGTCATCCTCTCTAGCTGGTGGTCTGGCGGCATTGGGCTGGTGGTCTTGGTGCTCGGCGATGTTGTGCCTAGTCTCGTGCATGTGGTGCCATCTCAAGGCTGATGGCGAATTCGTCCCTTCGATGCTTGTTCTTCAGTTGCTATTGTTGTTGTCGTCATGATAGTCGAGTTGAGGTCGTGTTAGCTCATGCGGTGGATGATTCTTGCTTTCTTGCCTTGTGGCATACTATTGTTCTAAACTGGGTTGGGTTTCGTTTGGCCATCTCCAGGTCGTGGATCGCCAAGACTTGGGTTAGTGATCCTTATGTTGTTTTAGTTTGTGTCTGTCACTCGTATGGGGTCATTCCTTTCTTTGGCTTTGTATAAACTTCTTTCTTCATGAGTCCACCTTCCTGATGAAGCTGCCAAAGATTGCTTGAACAATATATTGTAAAGGTTGGGGATGAAATACTCGGTTTTGAAGGTCAGCCAGCTATGTTTTCTTTTTTGATAAAACGCGCTTTTATTGGCTCATAATGTCACATCAAGAGCATACAAGAAAACGAAGTCAGTCGCTAAGTAGTACGAGGACCTCAGGTTAGAGGATTATTTGGAAATTTTATTTCTCTTAAAGTATAAAAATCCATCAAAGTTTCCTGACTACAACATTTGTTTTTGTTCTTATATACTGAAAAGATTGTATTGCTCGTAGAAAATTCTCGAGTGAGTTCAGTCACTTGCCTTTGCATGGTAGTTCATTCGGAAAATTTTGTCTCCTTGAGTAATGACCATCCTGTATCACAAGAGAAGGATTTTTCTTAATCAATGCAATCATAGGTGCAAACAGATAACTCAATTTCTGCACCAGCATGAGAAATTGATCCACTCACCATGGATCTGTTGGATGCACATCTATTGTCGATACTGACCTTACTTTGGATATGGTCTATTCGCAAACACCGAATAGAGATGGTCAAAAACATTTCAGGATTGGTTGGGCGTAGGTTGACAGAAATGAAAACGGGGCAAAGTCCCTGCAAAAATAAAAAGGAAAAGGGCAAAGGTTGGACTCACCTTGGAGGCTACAAACAATACGCCCAGCTCCATCTGATGTACATTTCTGCCCGTGTTTGTTTTGAACAAATCATGCTTGACATCTTTGGTCGTCAAACTCTCCTCTACGACGGTGCTCTTCACAGTGACCACTTCGGGCTTCAAGCTTTTGTGTTCTTTTGGAAAAGAAAAGGTTACGAGAAGATCTAACGTCGACTGTGATGACAGAACCCCTTTGCTCGGCAATATGGTGCACTTCACTGTATTATTGTTATTTGAATATATACTGAAAGCCACATGGTAATCAGTAACGTTGCATATCTTCAGTGTGCTTGACACGATTTGCGCAACCGGGAAGCGCAACTGGAGGGGGTCAACCTTGATCAGCTCATTTGGGACAGTTGATGAGCTTATCTAAAACAAATTGAGAAGTAAGCGCTCGATTAGTAGGAGCAGGATAGACATGCAATTCAAGAACTTCGGCTTAAGGTAGCAAATACGTACATCAATATTATTTTCATTTTGATAGAAATACATCACTATTTAGTTCCAACATGTTTACGTCATCAATGACAAAATGGAACCCGGGCCATTATCACAGCATTTATTAATTCCAGCTTTCAAGGCACGGCAAAATTTAAGTCCGACCATTAAATCACGGGCATAGCAAACTGATATCATTAACCATTTTAACGCTCTGTCTTTTCTGTTTTCCTTCTTCTCCTTGCTCTATTCTTAACTTTTCTCCCAACCCCATTTCCTTTTCCTCCCAGTCCCCTGACCCCATCATCTCCTAGATCATGTGATCCGTACTGTTGGATTGGATTCTACTTTGGCAAGATCTGCATCATGGGGCACCCACAAACAGTTTCTTGCACAGCCACACCAGAGCGCAACCGGACAAGGCGCCGGCCAGGACCATCGTGGCGCATCGAAGACGGGCGCGGCCAGGGAGCAGCAGGAGCTTCAATGTCGGTGCGGTCAGCTAGCAGCAGCATCTAACAGAGGGTACCACACCGGATCGAGGGCGGTCGGCGGTGCTGGTCCCCTCACCCCGCCAAAGGCGCGTGAGCCCGGTGTTTCTCTTGGTTCTTATGTTGTACTCCCTCCGTGCGAAAATACTTGTCATCAAAATAGATAAAAAGTGATGTATCTAGAACTAATATACGTCTAGATATATTTTCTTTTATTCATTTTGATGACAAGTATTTCCGGACGGAGGGAGTACTCTCAAACATGTTTTTGCCCCTCTTTATATATAAAGCAACAACACCCAAACAGTACACGGCCGAACGATACAATGTGATCAGATGACTCTCTTACAAAGCGGATCGAAAGGTACAACAAGAAACTTAGAGCTAGCCTAACACCTCGCAAAGGACCAACTGACGACACCAAAACTCCACGACAACACCCTAGGAGGGTGACGGCGCGATGCATCCGCTGCCGACTCCGAGAACAAACAAGGGTTTTCACCCGGAGCCCTGGCACATGAACAAGAAGACCCACAGATACACCTTCAAGAAGGGAATGACACCCATGGGCGACGCTGTCACCGGCGCCAAGCGCGAAGCTTGCGCTCAGGAACTTGCAAATACCACCAGGAGGGGCCATGCCACCCCCGCAGCGAGTCAGGCTAACCCCCCAAATCTGGGCACAACCAGAGCATGCCAGAGCCTTCCACGCCTACACCAATGCCACCTACACAACCAAGAGGTGTAGGCACCACCGCACCATGAGGCCTGCCAGAAAGCCCACCATGGGTCCCGCTATCCACGGCAGCTGCCCCGATATCCTCCGACAACTCACCGACGCGAAACACGTCGCCTCCCCAGCCAAGCCACAAGCCTCCACCTCGACATGGACAGAGAAATGGCCGAG